AAAGCGAAAGGCCATCCAATCAAATAGGAAACACCCAAGACCCACTGTAGAGGGCCCCCGAATGGATGAGTGTGCCCGAGCAGGTTAACAAATAGGGCTCCTAACAAAAGCGTAAGGCCCTCCATTCGAATGGGAAGCACTGAAGATCCTAAGTAAATGCCCCCAGAATAATGGAATTTGCTAGAGTAGCGTATCAGAAGGAGCCCGATAAGAGCGCAGGGTCCTTCTTTCAAATAAGAAGTACTCAAAACCCAGTGCGGAGGGCCCCAAAAGATAGAGTATACCCGAGCAAATAATCAGGTGGCCCAGACAGGAGTGTAGGGCCCTAAATTCAAACACCAAGACCCAAATATAGGACCCCCGAACAATCCGATGTGGCCGAAGCGGCGAACAGATGGGTCCCCGACAAGCGCTTAGGTCCCTCCACTCAGATAGGAAGTACCCAAGACACAATATGGAGGGCCCCTGGATATTTGAGTGTGCTCGAGCAGCTTAACAGATGGGGCTCCGGCAAGAGCGTAGGGCCTTCCGTTCAAATATAACTTACCCACGGTCAGACATAGAAGGCCCCGAATAACCGAGTGCGCCAGAGCTGGTTAATAGTTAGGGCCCCCGAAAAGAGCGGAGGGCACTCCATTAGAATAGGAAGTACCGAAAACCAGACGTAGAGGCTCCTCACGATCGAATGGGTCCGAGCATCATATTAGATGGGGGGCCCCGACAGGAGCTTAAGGTTCTCCATTCAAATAAGAAGTACCTAAGACCCAGTGCGGAGGGCCCCCAAAGATGGAGTGCACCCGAACAGGTTCAGATGACCCCGATACGGGCGGAGGGCCCTAAATTCAAACCCCGACAACCAATGTACATTGCCCACCGGCAATCCAGTGTGGCCGAGGAGGCCAACAGAAGGGGCCCCGACAAGTGCGTAGGTCCCTATTCGAATAGCACGTGCCTAAGGCCCAATATAGGGGGCCCCCCGAACGACTGAATGTGCCCGAGCGGGTCATTAGATACTCAGATACCCTTCCCCCCCCCCCCCCCACAGAAGCGTAGGCTCCCCATTGAGAAAAGAGGTACCAAAAAACCCAGTGTAGACAGTCCCCGAACGAATGAGTGTGCCCAAGCAGGCCATTAGGTAGGCCCCCGACAAGAGTGTAGAGCGCTAAGCAAGTGACAGAGAATTGGAAACGCCATAGACCAGTGTAGAGGACCCATGGGCATGTCGCAAGTGTGTCGGTAGGTTAACCGATACCCACGCAAAGAACCCCTGAGCAACTGAGAATACCCCGGAAGGTTAAGGTATGGGACTCAGGCTACCGCCCACAGAGCCTTTCTGGCGAATGGAAATAATCCGCGGGAGGGCCAGTGATTGACAAGGGTTCTCCGGCACGCTAACGGGAAGGGCTCCAATAACAACGCAGGGGCCTCTGAGCAAATGCAAAGAAATGAAGGACAACGTGGAATGCTTCTAAACGACCGAAATGAACCTGCAAGGAGCATATAGGTCCCCGGAAACAGCATGGGGCCCTAGACGGCCCTGATGATGCTTAAAATTTCCAGTTCACAACTTTTCCAATAATTGAGTAATTGATGAGACTTCTCGTAGGCCCTTCACTTCCGCTTACAACTGTTCTTGGTGGCCTGAAAGTCCAGAGACACCCAGTTTTGTTGCGTTCTGTGTTAAAAAAAACTGCACCTGTTCGGCCGGCTATGGGCTCCACGGAGCCAATGGGCCCCTTCGGGGCCCAAGGGGGTCATGCCCCGTGGCCTCCCTCTCTGGATCCGCGGCTGCTTCTTACCGCACGTTTTTTGAGACTAGTTTTGTTATTTTCCACTTTTTTGCCTCTCCCCGAACTCAGTTTGCCCTCGATGTCGGACTGTCTGGGGAGAAAGATATTGATCCTAAGCCTGAAGTGCCATTCAGGTGACCACTACGAAATCTCAAATGGGAGCACCGTAAATCCGATATGGGAACCAATGGGCTGGCTAAAGGTCATTGAGGAGGCGCGGGTCGGACCCTCAAAAAGCAGGCTGAGGGTCCGTTGCACCGATTGGGCCCCGGCTTGGGCCTGTGGGCCCATTTCCCAAGCAGACACAAGGTCAGGACCTGCGATTTACATTGGTCAGTACACCCCGAGCCAATGAGGGGCCCCTGTGTCGGCCAGGGGCACACAGCGCCTACCGGAGGTCCGGTGTTGACAAGGGCCCCCGAGTTGGTCAGGGAGTGTGCGAAGGTGCCTGAAGAGGGACCGATGTGCCCTTCAAGACTGACGATAAACGGGCCAATGGGAATGCCGAATGGCTGTAGAGGTCGAAAGGCTGCAGGACATCCTGACCCGTATGGCTGCGATCCCAAATGTCAGCCAATATGGCTATTTCGCCGATTATGGGCCCCTGGGACAGTGCGGGCACCTATTTTGGCCGGAGACCACTGAACCGAATAGTTGACTCCGTGTTGTTCTGAGCGCTGGAGCCCCATTTCCCTAGCAGGAACGAGACCGAGGCCTGCGATTTGCATTGGTCGGAGTCCCTATAGCAATAAATGATCTTTTGACGGCCAGGCTCAGGCTCACGGCCTCCGGACGAACCCATCAGGCGAACCCGCCTCCTTGTCACCAGAATGACAGCTGGTTGACACACCTGGCTGGGACGGAATGATCTTAAAGCAATTGCCCGGAAGGGTCGTGTGACCTAACTTTTCATTAATGTTTACACATTTTTCACATTACATCACACATAATATTTACACATTACACATTCTCAACTAATGTTTACACAAGTTGCTGGCCTCATTTAGATTTAGGGTCAATCTTCACGAGATCCTCAATATTTATGTAGGGTGTGAACTCCCTCGCCCTGGAGGGACGGAGTCCTCTTTATCTTAAGTCCTCCCTCTGGCATTAGAAACTACGCTGCTCTCCGGCATGAAAAGCCCAAGTAAGAATTCATTCCGCTTAGAAGTGAAGCGAGTTGGCATCGTCACGCTATACCGATAGATCATGAAGCCACCCACTTAACAACGGCCATCGTCGAGATTCGAACCCGGGTTTCCCGCGTACGAGACCAGCATCCTAACCACCATCCACTGGAGCAGGTCCGGCGGGCGAAAATTTGTGATCAAAATAGGACTGGTTCGGAGTGAGTTGATGGATTTCGTGATCGTTTGATGCCTATCACGCATAGAGCCGACTTTTCGCACGAGATTTTGCATATTTGCACTTGCTAAGGCTGGCAATCCGTGTATGCTTGACACACAACCATCTGAAAGATTTTTGGAGCGTGCATTAGCCCAGTGCGTAGCCTCCCTCTGTTTTGGAGGGTGCATAAGCCCGGTGCGTAACCACCCTCCGTTTTGAAGGGTGTATACGTGCAGCCTTGATATAACTGGACCCATACAGCAAGTTATGAAGCCTGAACTCCAAGGCATGTAAATGAACAGCTGCAAAAAACTCCGTATCTGATCACTTTCATGGAAATTATCTCTCCTTCATCACATAATGTCGCTTATGCACACTCGCATACCTAAGAAAGATGGGATGATGATGACAATTGATGTGGCATCGGATCCAGTCCCCAAAGAACATAATGTTAAATGAGATGGGATTGCGACCCAACTCTACCCATGCATATTTGCAGCATTGTAAGGTTTGCTAGATGTCATTAATGTCATGCTGATGTTTCATGCCTCAAAATGCTTTCAAACAAGAAAATAATTTTAAAAGTCTGGTTATCTGAGCAGCGTTGGGATTCATTGAAGAGATGCATCAGCCTTACGATATGATGCCATTAACATGGTATATTTTGCATTACCAGGTTAATAATCCCAAATGTCAAATGTCAAATGTTAAACCATACCTTCGACCAAGTGCTGTTCCCTCTATGCATCTGGACGTCGTCGGCCCACCGAAGTGAGTGTGTGTGCTTGAAGGGAAAATGCCTATCTTTTTTTGCAGAAATTTTCGAGCCCGACACCCAGTCTCTAATGCATGCAGAATATATGCTTGTCTGCGCAGTTCGTCGACTACAATGCAAGATTCAAACGAGAATTTCCAGCCATAATCTTGTTTCCAAAGTTGGGCCTGACTACCACACAGATGGCACAGCCATCCATGCTACACGGGCAAGAGGGGTGAAGATCAGGGACGCAGCCAGGATTTTCGACAGGGGGGGGGGGGGGGGGGGAGATCACGTTTGTACGACCGTGTCCCAGCCTCATTGACTGTACGTCTACGGATACCTAGCGCATCAATGAGCTACCGATATTGGCTTGCTCTGGTGCCTTGAACAGTCCTTTCAGCTACGTGCCGTGCGTGTTCACTCGGCTATGTGCGAGCCTTGTTACTAATTAACCGCCTTTGGGCTCTTCGTGCTACTCTGCATGGCGGTGTCTGAGATCTCAAACCAAACTATTTGCCTCGTCACCGAAGTCCGGGATTACATGCGGTAATGTGGTAGAAAAAAAACTGCTGATGTGCCTAACCCATAGGCCTTAAACCTCACGGGCAGAGACCAAGGAAGGGGGAGGAGGAGCCTCGGAAGGCCGTGCCGTTGTCATCGCTTTTTTGCGTCGGAAAACAGCAATGGCGGCGCCAGCCCCTGAAACAGTCCACGCACTGAACTGGAACCATGAGTACCCGGCGGCCGTGACCGTCCGCCTTACCCGCTCGGCTATGTCACGCGGCACCACAAAAAATGTGGCTGTGTATAAAAACAAGGGTGGAAAACGAAATAATGGGCATGTCCGGATCCAAGACGTTTTGCTGTCGCAATGAAAAAAAACTGATGACTTGTAATGAGGTCTGCTTAATGCGCCTGTTAGGTACGTGGAAATGACTGTTTCGTTATGTCGCAGATCCATGATCCAGTTGTGGAGGAAACGGCAGTGCATGCAGACTACGTGGAGGCCGTCTACCAGCAAGTAGCCGCGATGCCTTCAGTGTCTGTCCTGGTCGAAATCGACGAGGACGACGGGGTCAACGCGTCGGGCGAAGACAAGCTCCATGGCGGAGACGGAGAAAACCGAAAATGGTCCCCGCTGCGGCGACGAGACGGACGAGGTCAGCATCGAGCACGAGGCGCTGGCCTTCGTTGCCGGCTTCGTGGCGGCCAAGTGCAAGCACCTCGATCCAAGCATGGGACTTCGACCCGAGAGGTACAATCCAGCTGTGTGCCAGACAGCTGGATGCATACGATACGTTGAGGTGGTCTGATGGTACCATCACCGGCCTGGATGAGCGCTGTCGAGGCTTTCGAGATCGTGTTCCAGCTAGTGATGGGCCGAGGCATGGATCGAGGCATTGGTATCTTCGACCGCCACGCAAAGCTCCTGTTGAGAAAGTTCTGCGCTGGACAAGCGGGTCGTTTGGAGGCTGGTAATGACGCTCATCCATATGCGCCTCAGATGGGTTAATCAGGCTAGGGCTGAGCCGGCTGCTGCCAGACGCGAAGCCAAGCCAGCAGCACATCGTCTGCGTCGTCTCAAACTGCCTCCATCACACACCAGTGCAACCCGGCGCGTAATGATGTATAGTGATGAGGTTCAGCGCGACAGTTCGGATGAGCATCACCATAGACTCAATGTCTGACATCGTCAGCAAGTGGGAGTGCCATCGCACACGGCTCCCGGTCCCTAGGCATATCTTCGATGTTACACCCAGCGTGGCAAAAAATCCCCCTTCCACATTTCCTCATAAAAATTACCCTTCTTAAAGTGCCCTGTGGCGATCCCCAGATGCATTTGTTCGCGGGTATCCCGGTGGGGCAGACGCGAAGGTCATGCAGGCGGCGCGGCGATGCCGGGCTGCGACTGCGTGACGTCACGGTAATAGTGAGGGGAAGTGTCGGAAAAATCCCCGGATGACCATACCTTATTAGCCGGCCTTGGTCGAGGTCACGTTCTTATTCACAGCTTTCTTTGTACCAACTTACCACGTGAGTTTCATTGTTCTACCTCTGACGGCTTTTAGGAAACCATATTCCGACGGACTTAAGTGTTGACAGTTGCTGGCTTGAAGCGCTCCGTTGCTGATCGTTTACATTCATCTTTGTAGTATACAA